ACTCAACTCACATGTTGATTTTAATGGAGGGAAGGAAACTTGAGAGCCCGGAGTAAGACCCTCGAGGCAACACATCAAACAAACTCAACTCACATTTACAGTTCAGTCGAGACAAACCCGCGACCCGCGTGAAAAACACAGCGGTGAGGGATAGCTCGGTAGCAGCGGGTGCCATCACAGTTGTAGAGATGTAATAAGACAGGAATCGTACAGTATTATACATCTGGCTTTCAAATAGCTTCAAGAAAGCAGCAATAAAGGCACACAATCCATACAGTTTCAAAGGTTTATTCGCGCCAATCATCGCCGCAATTACAGCAGTACGCTGCTTAACGGGATCAAACTCAAAGCAATGTGAAGGCGCCTTTCTTCGCAGTCGCTATACAGTCCATGAATGATGAACCCAGAGCACAGCTTTTTCCAGACTGAATTAGTCATGGTTGGTTTGAGAGGAGGGTGGAAAAACCAACAAAACCCTCGAGGTCAGTAAGAGAACCAACAAGCTAGGCTCCTATTAGATGACTGGGAATCGAACTCCGCAGAGATGAGAGGCGAGCGTTTTTCCCCACCACGCCATATTGACAATGAATTCGCTCTAAATCCTTATACTCTGAGGTGTAATACTGCAGTTTTCGTATGACTATGAAAAATTCACGGCACGAACACGGCCATGACACGGCTAGGGATACGCCAGACCAATCACATTGCACGAGAMTTTACTCTCCATCCAATCAAATACCCGGAACACGGCATAAACAAGGCGCGGACACGGTCACGCCAAGGTCACGGCAATGCCAGATCAATCACATTGCGCGTGAAAAAATCAGCCAATTAAAATTCTAGAAAGCATCACGGTCACGGCACCTCACGCTTACGGCACTGAGCTTTTCACAGTCATACGAAAGCTGCACTATACATTTTCACGTACGGCAAGCGCAGGACCTCCCATCTTAGTGATTCGAGGCCCGCTTAAAACATATATATTAACATACTATTGTCTCTTCTTTTCAACAGGAAATCAGATACCGGAGTTGAGGTCAGTTTCAGTGGCTGTATTCAAGACTTTTCCGTTGATGACCAAAAACTACGTTCTAAATCCATCAGCTTAGCATACGATATCCTAGATAGCAACACATTCTTTGTTATGCCCCCGGTGAACGTCTTTAAATGTGGCTGCCGTGGCGAACCCTGTTTGAATAATGGGGCATGTGTTAAGAGGTTGAAAGACTACCGCTGTGAATGTCCTATAGGATACACTGGTCCTCGCTGTGGTATACCTTGTAAGTCCAGATACATTTATATTGACCCCAACCTAATAGTATTCATGTTTTTCGGTACCCACTTCAAATCGTTTAAAAAATCCTCCCAATCCTCCTTTTGACCTTTCAAGGCCCCCCATGTTCCACTAAAAAAAATTGAGGGCCCCCATTTTCTCCTCGGGGACGAAAAAACCGGAGAAACTAGTCAGCCCAACATAAGCGCAGGGACCAGCGTCTGGACTACGAGGAACCCGGAGATAAACCCTCAAATCAAGGGACAAAACTAACAAACTCAATTCACAAGTGATGTAAGTCGATCCATCCCGAGACCCCAGAAATGAAAAGCAAATGCAAACTATGTTACCCCAGCCTTGATTCTCACTCTTGATTCTCACAAATCCATGGCCTATTCAGCCAGTGCCACGTCGTTACCAAGCAACATCAAAGCCACGACGATCTAGTTGAATCTCGATTGGTAGTTATCAGTGGCGGATCCAGGATTTTTCAAAGGGGGTTCCGTTTCTTGAACTGTGTATAATTCTCTTTTGTTTAGTCGATGTCTGACAAAAAAATTGGCTCTAATCACCTAATTTACTATCTAGTAACGGAACTTAAAGGCAAATTAAACATTATAACAGCAAATATCTATCATTTCGTGTTCAACATTATCTTTGTGGATACTTTTAAGCAAAATTTATATGACATATTTCTATTACCTAAAAGATCAAACCTTCAAGGGGGGTTCCGTGGACCTCTTCGACCCCCCCTGGATCCGCCACTGGTTATAACACTAAATCGTGAAGAAAGAATGGTAGACTGCAAACCATATACATGAACTAACTAATTGGTACAAAATAGCACCAATGAAACAATAGAATTATTGAAAACATTAGGAATATATGTGTTTAGTGCTATTTAGCTTTGTGCTATTTCACAGATATATAGTTTGCACTCTAAGCATCTGATCTTACTAAGTTAAAGCCTTYCTCAATAACACACGCCCTCTAGCGATTGTTTCTGTCGTGACGAAGTAGGTTTTGATGGACGTCAATCAAGGCGTTTCCATAACATTCTATAGGCACATGCTCTTGAAAGCTTTGTATTTTCAGACAAGGTTATGGAAAACCCTTTTATTGACGTCCACCCAAACTCTATTTTTGTCGCGACAAGGGAATTGTACGATTTTGCGCGTGTGATAGAGAAGCGCTGTAAGAGTTAATTTTAAGTTCCTTTTTTGTTGTTGTTTTGTAGCATGTGGTGAGGTATCTATCGATCTAGGCTTCGCCATTGACGGTTCTAACAGTGTTGATAAGGACGAGTATCGCGACTTGCTGGATTTTATTATCGATGTCATCAAGGTAAGACTTAAATCATCAATACCTCCCCAGGCTGTGCAGATTGGAGGAGGAAGATTGGGTAATTTCGTTTCACGTCGTTTCCGTTGTCACAAATTTGAGAACTAAATGGGAAATTTCCAGTAGAATTTCGTTAGTCTAGAGCGGTTTTCGAATGAGTAGGGAACGTACAGTACTAACTTACAGCACAAACTCGGTATGCAATACCTTAGCTTAACACTCAAATGGCTTTCCATTGCGTTTGTGCCCGGGGGGTGACTCCAAGATAAAAGCATCAGGTATGCTCGTCGTATCTCTTAGAAGTAAAAATCAGCGATTTGGGATCTTTTAGGGTGTACAAATAGACCTATAAGCCTGCAGCGAGATGACGTTTTACCCCCGTCTCTAGACCATAATCCTTTTCATATTGCTTTTGTTCTTTAATTATGACTGTTGTTCCTGTATTCTCTAAGGAATCAAAATTTTTAATATGAAAGAATTTTAAAAACTATTATGGTATAGAGTCGGGGGTAAAACGTCATCTCGCTTCAGGCTTATTCCACTGTTGTTTTTTTTTCATTCCCTAGAGTATCGTTTCCTTGTTTAACGGTTGCGCATTAGAAGAACATGAATATGGATAAAACTCACAAAAAGAAACGTGTTATCCTCAAGAGAATAACACGTGATTCCTAATGAAATATAAATATCCTAGGTGGATTTACCGCATCGTTCCCCGATCATAGAGCAGTTTTCGTATGACTGTGTACGTCGGTGCCGTATGCGTGCCTTGCTGCGACCATGATGTTTTMTAGACTTTTGATTGGCGCAATGTGATTTGTCGGACAGTGCCGTGACCGTGTCCGCGCCGTGCTCCGAGCCGTGTGTCAGACATTTGATTGSATGCAATGTGGTGGTCCAGGTGGTCTGGCGTATGCCTTGCCGCGTCATGACYGTGTTCGTGCCGTGAGCTATTCTCAGTCATACGAAAACTGCTCTAGAAAACCACTCTGTGCTGTTTAAAGATGTTACTCGACCTATTATATTTTCCTAGGTGTTCCCTATCTCACGATCCGGATCACACGTTGGAATCGTGGAGTACGGCAAAGGAGCGTCTGTGAGAATCAAATTTACTGACCACTACACTCAGGGTAGTTTAATATCTGCTGTTAACAACCTGAAACGAGGAAGATACATCAAAACCGACATAACGGAAGGTCTTCGGGTGTCTGCAGAAATGTTTGACCAAAACTCTCCGTACGGCGCCCGTGGTCCCTCTTTCCGCAAAGTGTTCGTTTTCCTAACTGATGGTAAAAATAATGGCGATGAAGAACTGTTTAAAACTTACAGCGCTAAAATCAGGGATCAGAACATCATGACTATTGCTGTTGGAGTGGATATAGCTGTACGCGAGCAACTGGAGACTATCGCTTCCAATAAAAACAATGTATTCCTGCGCAATTCGTTCCGTGAGCTTGGTTCTGTGATTAATAGTATTAAACCAGCCGTCAAGTGCGAAGAAAGAGGTAAAAAAGATGTTTATTTTTATGTATGTCTGTTATTCTAGATATTAATATCTAAGAACACGGCGGACTTTAATGGTCATTTGGTGGGTGGAGTGAGTACATGTATCTTTTGCAAGTGGAGAGGGTGGTTGATGTGTTGGTGGGTGGAGTAGGTACATGTATGGGTATCTTGTACAATTGAAGAGGGTGGTTGATGTGTTGGTGGGTGGAGTAG